ATTTTCCGACAGTTTAGTACCTACTTATAGTATTCAATGGGTCATTATTGTGGCCATTGACGTCGTGAAGAAACTGGTTACAATTCACAATTAAGTACCTACCCTATTAAGTTGTTCGAATTATTTTTTTACGAGTGTCTGACGATATAATACTAATAATAATCATTCCTTGTACATAAACAACATTTTTAATTAACTGGATTTTTTGACCGAACACAGAAAAACAAAAATAACGATCCCCGATACAAATGGAAGGGGTGAAGGGCACGGGTCTCGCTTCGCTTATTATATAATTCATAGTGTATTGTGTTATTATTACAAATTTGAAAATAATATTTCAAGAATATTTGCAGAAATGTACATTATACGTCATATTATTAAAGATATGGGTACGGAAACTTAAAAAGAAACCATTGAATATAATATAAAATAAAAGTCCGGTACATTAGTTCAACTTTTATACCCTTTAATTTTTAAGTATTTGAAAATTATGAAGAAAATATTATACACAATATATAATATGTAAGCTTGGATCTGAGCTTATTATAAAAATGGATCGAATAGTGAAGACAGCTTTAAAAAAATTACTTAAGCCTCTCTAAAATATGTGGATTTCTCTCACATTATATATTATTCAAGTACTGTTTTGTTTTTCTACGTTTTGTTATTAAATATTAAACCAAACAAAAAGATTTTAAATCCGTGAAATGCGTCTTAACTAAGTGGAAAAATGTTAACATTGCCGCCATATAAATCCTGGGATTGATTGTTGCATAATATACAGTGTGTAATTGTGTAACAGAAAGACCTGACAAATAAAAATAAAAAATTGAAACTAGTAAAACCTTTGAAAATTATATGGATAGTAAATAACTTGGAAATACACTTAGGTACTATATGTAGAACTTCCAAAAAAGAATATTTTGAAAAAATGTACTACATTTCAAATTAATTTACTGAAAAAAAAATATTGATCTTTTAAAAAATTTTCAAAAATAACCTGACACGAAAATTTGTCTAAAAAATTTGATTTACAAATTGGTTATTTTGAAAAAATAATGTTATACCGCAATTGTATCGCAAACGTTATACACAAAAAAAGTTTAAATATTTATTAGAACAAAAGTTATTTAATTTATCAGCCGTGTCGGTTGGACCTCGTTTAAATTACTATTTCAATATATTTTGATGTATTACGATGATGTCAAAAAGTAGATTTTAAAACATTTTCAGTCGGTGACGATATTTAAATTTATTGTTTCAGTTTTAATACCAATGAACGTACACTTTTAATGCACTTCAAAGTGCAGATGTCACTTGAGAAAGTCGGTCCTAAGACATTTCAACGAATGTGTGTAGGAGATCAATGATCGTTATATTCACTGCGCACTTTCTCTCTCTCTCTCTCTTGCAACAGAAAATGTTTTTCATTACTCGACTCATGCACTTATGGATATGAATGCTTTTTGTATTGCCTAAGCCGAAGCACAACTGTTGAACGTACATTTTCCCAAGAGATCCATGCAGACGCGGAAATTACCAGACAATTACTGAATAATAAATTTCAAAGGATATAGACCACCCACTCTGCGTTTGTTTCTAACTTTTTTCTAATTAGTATTTATTGATCGATAATGTATGGGTCTTATAATAATTTTTGTATATTTTTTTGTTCGATACCATGTTTTGGAGCAGAAAAAATGCATAAATATTACAATTTGAGGGTTGTTTCTAGTAGAAAATTGAATATATTGTAGAGGACAAAAGTAGTTGTTTTTTTTTTTAGTTGTATTTATAGATACTTAAATGCTTTAAAAGTTCTTAATGGAATTAAACAAATATTACCGTAAACCGACATTCATTTTTTTTGAGAGTTTGAAAATCAAATGTCGATTTAATTGGTTATTTATACTACAAACAACTATTTTTAATTAAACATTTAAACTATTTAAGTTTGTAACTCATAACATAATATTGTTAAATGTAGAAACTTGAAATACCTATTTTACTTAATTATTATTTTCTATACACAATTAATTTTTTTTTATTATTTTTACGTGTAAGATTTTTATATAGACATTTCAATTTTACTAATTTTTTAGTTTTGATAATTATTAAAATTTTTCTTTTCGATTAAAAAGCTTGAAAATGTAATCCAAGGAATCATTTTGCACATCATTGAATTAAAATTGAACACTTCTACTACATTCTAGGTACTATACAGTGACTTACTCTATGATGATGTACACTCGAACATTAAATATAAAAGCACATATGCAGAGTAACATGATTCTCGGGGTTTTTTTAATGCAATGATATTATGAAAATGTTGGTCATGTGTCGGATGGCTCGGAAACTCACCTGTTTTAATTTCTCGTTGTTTAATAATTCAAGATTGTCCTGTGAATATTTTGTACACTGTGCCACGCCTTTCTAAACGATAATAATATTACCTGTGTAAAAGTTAAATTAATAATTAATAATTTCCAATGGCAGACAAAAAGTTATTGATGATTATTGCAGACTGCAGTGAGAGTTTAAGAGAGTATACTAAATCTCGTGGTAATACATGGTAAGTTAATGTATAAATTAATAACTAATGTAAACACACTTTACGCTAATAAAGTCTGCAGTTGTTGAAGCGAAAAGCTCAATAAAAAATTATAATAATTACAATATAATATATTGTATCAAATAATCGAAACTGAATATTTATTATTTTTAAACATACCTATGATCATAACAATTGTTTTAATATATGTAACATTTTTTGGAACAATGGTTAAAAAAATATTTTTATCAATTGTAAATTACAATGTTATTCTTTTCAAATCCTACGGTTTGATGTTTTATATTATATCCGCGCAGTAGACGAATAATTAATTAATATTTAATTGGAATTGTTTTTCGTTTTTCTCATAGCATTTACTTCGCTTTCTTCTGAGCAAACTGTTAGACGAACTCTCTGATATTTATTGCAGTAGATATGGAAAAGGTTAAATTGTTTTTTCTCGTCGAGAGTTAATTTTTATTGTAATTTACACATACATTACTAAGTGGCGTATAATTATTATATTATACTTTTAACTTTCCAGCGCACGCTTCACTTTTTTACTTTTATTTTTTATGATTTATTTTTAGTCATAATACCTATATTATTTTAATTCGCATGCCGGCATTATAATTACCTATAATTATAATATTGTTAAAGTGTACGCTGAAGATTTAACTACTGCGGTGTAGTTAAAGCTTTAAAAAATTTAAGCCTGTTTAGTACAATACATTTATTTACTATGCGGCGTGAAATCAAACGGTCATGATTACACGGGAGATAAAAAACACTGTTATTAAACATATTAAAATTATAGAATTTTATATTTCTGAGTATCGCTTAAAGTGCAGTACATTATAGGTACAATTTATATAGGGAGTTATCTCGTAATAATTAAAATTTTGAATAAAACTACCTCATCACCATATTATATATTACAAATTGTTGTGTAATATTAAACACAATGGATATAAGGACGTTAGGTGTAAAAAGAAAACAAATCAATCAATTATTAATATTGTAATGATTATAAATTTATAATTTATTTCAGATTTAGTTTGAAACGTACAAATGTATTGTTCTCCCGTGGTATACCTATCATCTTTGTCCTCTGACCGCGGTAGCTGAGTAATAATAATAAAAAATGATAATAACACAAAATCACAAAGCAGCCGATAGGTTTATTATTCCGCCAAAACGTCAAAGTTACATCAGATTACGAAAGTAAGAGTCCGGTAAAATGAGGACAGTTTTTTAAGTGTATTAATAAAACACTTGTTAGATTTAATGATAGGTAGGTACTTATTATAGATATCTTGGAATAATTTGATGCGTTGGACATGACTGTAACGAAAGGACTTTTTTAGGCAGACTTGGCGTTTGGTGGAAATACTTACATAATGCTGGTCGCGTTCGATTAATAATAATATCTCATCATTTCTACAACGATTAAAATAAATCTTTGTGAAAATACTGCGGTAAAACACCGTCCGAAGATGTAATAACAGTAGGTATAACACAATCGTATATAATATTATAGTGTTTTATCAATGATTATAATATTATAAATTCAATTTTTTACTATACCTATTTAACAATGTAATATGACATCGTATTACGTGCGAGTTTAAAGTGTTTAAACATATTTTTATTTTTTACGAACATATCGTTTTACCGTAATTACTATAATATTATTTTTTGTTTCGTTTACATTTTACGTTTATCAGTAGCGGTGCGTTTGTTGGTATCAATATTTGTCGTTCCACCGATAGGACATAATATTATCTATACAAAATATGTATACATCATAATGGTTGCGACTGGCGGTTACACTTAGATCGTATACCATCGTAATAGTGGTTAACTGTACTTAGTAGATATAGGATGTGTATATGGGACGATGATTATATATATATAGGTCATTGGTGTGTCAGTCGTTACCATTCCGTTATAGCTCATTAATAAACGTATCTCGTGTTTGTGTTAAATGTGTAACAAATAACAACATGATAATATTATTATTTATTAAATATTATTGGATTTTGTGTCAGGCTTGGACGTCACTCGCGGTTTCATTTGTATAACATAATAATATTATATTATTAAGTAACTCACATATTACAAGCAAACAATTTTTTTAATTGACATCTATATACCTATTATATATCCATATACCAGGCGTGCCCAACCTTTTTTAACTTGCGGGCCACATTCGAAATTTATATTTATACTGCGGGCCGTATATGCTTCATGGGTTTTTTTTTTGTTCATTTCGATAAAATATAGACTAGTCATAGGTATATCTATTGTACATTTTATCGGATATAATATTATCTTTGTTCACTTATCGAATTTATGACTCAAATCGTATGTGTTTAAAGTTCTCAATATTTCCACGCTATAGTTGTTAGTTTGTTTTCGTCATTAGAAATTGTACGTTCACATTAAGATGTCTCAAAATAAAAAGCGCAAAATTGATACCGAATGCCGTATTTTTAATGATAATTGGAGTCTAAGTTATTTTTTTATCGAGTATCGAAATAAAGCGATGTGTTTGATATGCTACGAAACCGTGGCGGTCTTTAAAGAATTTAATATTAAAAGACATTATGAAAGTAAACATCAAAACAAATACGTCAATTGTAAAGGTAAATATTTATCATATTTTTTTATTTTTCTGAAGTGGGTATTTAGGTATTTCGCTAACTAAGTTTGGATTTAAATTTTAAATTTTAGGGAATCTTAGAACTTCTTTGTTAGAAAAATTCAAACAAAATTTCAAAAGTGAACGCGTCGGAAATGTATTTGAAAAATATAATAGAGGTAAAGATGAGATTATTCGAGCAAGTTATGAAGTAGCTAACCTGATAGCTCGCGAAAATAAAAGTTTTAGTGATGGCGAATTTGTAAAAAAATGTATCTTGGCAAGTGTAAAAGAAATTATTCCGGAAAAAATGTCTGTATTCGAGAATATCAGTTTGTCTCGAAATACTATTACTAGGCGGGTAGAAGACATTGGAGGTGATTTAATGACGCAGTTACAAATAAAATCGAAAACGTTTACATTTTTTTCTTTAGCTTTGGATGAAAGCACTGATGTGTCAGATACTGCACAATTATTAATATTTATACGAGGAATAGATATATTATATACACTAGATATTTAGATATTAAGTAAGATGTAAATATTATAAGTCTATCCTTAAGGCCCACATTTAAGGCTTAAATACAACTTTTAACCCACACTTTAACAACAATAAGAATAACATAACGAAAAAAAGTCCATTTATTCTAGGCATAGAACTATAACGATTTTTTTTAAAAACATTTTCATATTAAATAAGTAATATACTATTAATAATAACTATAATAATAATACTTCAAATTATCAGGTCGTCAAAATTAAAATTGCCTTTTGCATGTAATCACTATTTTTTTTTTAAATATTTAAAAATTCTATATTTTTATTTAATTTTGAAATTTATTGAAATGCTTACCTTTTTACGATTTGTTATTAATATATGTTAAAATAAATGAACAATTATAGAATAAAAAAAGAGGAATGGTATAATACTATAATCTATATTCAACGTAATAAATTACCCTCTGATGGAAAGCTCATCCAATATAATAATATAGTGTTACGCCACTATACAGACCGACAGCAAAATAATAATTTTTACGAAATCACCCCAGTAGAGTGTTTTGGTAGGTTCTGGGTCCCCCGAAAATCCAAGTAATCCTATTACCCCGCCCACCCTATAGTCGCGCACGTCCCCTCCCCGCCCATCATATCACGCAGGTGCACAGCCTTACCCCCCCCCTTCCATCCATGTCTAACCTAACCTATCATCACCCCCTAACATCACCCCCTCCCCTACCATCAATGTCTATCACGTACGTGCAATATTATACTATCAAATCTTATTAAATCCATACAAGCTGTATATTTATCTGTGCAAATTACTAAAATATTATAAAACAATAATAAATCTATAATATTGCATTAATTTTATAAAATATATTCGAATAATAATAATAATGTAGAAACTCAACAAAACTTTATTTTTAAAAACTTTTGAAATCGAATTCAAACTACCGAGTACTCTCTTTAATCTTTATTATCTACAATAATTTTTATCAATATCAATAATAATTTTTATCATATTTTTGAACGTATTTTATAACTATACAAAAATATATTGTAAAAGTTGTATAAACGTGTTGTATTTGTAAACACCGTATTAGTATTTAGTGCTAACAATTTTTTTTATTATGATTAAGTATTTCAATATTTCCTAAATCATAATTGAAAATGTTAACCTAAGTATACGTTGTTATTGCGTATATACAAATACTATAAATAAAATTAAAATTTGAATTGACAAATTGAATGGGAAGGGTGCTAATTAATTAAAAGTATAACAGATAAGATAAACTTTTGAATACATATAGTATGATATTATAACGCAATATATTATCCCATTGAACTTTTAAACGGCTGTTCAAATGTTACAATTGCATAGACATGACAAGTGCAAATGTTACTAGAAAAACGTAGGGGAATGGTATGGTATGCATAAGGTATTGATAGGAGGGAGGGGTATGGAGTGGTATGAAGAATAGGTATAGATTGTAGGGGAGGGTATGGTGTAGTATAAGGTGTACGTATATGATCGCGAATGTACGTGATAGCAGGCGTGACTATAATGAGTAGGGACTAGTTTTATCCATAATGACATTATAACGACTCGTTAACTATGTGTGAACTGTGTTTATACTCTATTCAAAATAAGATCGGGACACGGCGGCAGCTACTGCGCATAGGCGTGGATTTGTTCCGCAAAGCTGCCCGACGCGTCGCCGCCGCCGCCGTCATTTCAGCCAATCAGCAGGAGGTCTGCGCGCCGCCGACGAAAACTTGTCGCCGCCGTGTCCCGATCTTATTTTGAATAGAGTATAGAATATCATAATACAAGCTAGCGATATGTGTACTATACATTTACACTCTCACTTAGATGACGTATGGTATTGGGAAATCATTAATAATTTTGTGTTAATTATTATAAGTCGCTGATAGATATGGATGAGGGGGGGTATGTTAGTGATACACATTGATGGTAGGGGAGGTGGTAAGGACGTGATAGACATGGATGAGAGGGGATGGGTACGGACGGGAGCGTTCGTGATAGAGCTATAGGTTGGCGGCGGGGTATGGTATGTTAGTGATATGTATTGATGGAAGGGGAGGGGGAAAGGTTGGGTACGTATGTGACATACATTGATAGGGAGGGGGGTAGGTCGGGTACGTATGTGATAGGCATGAATGGGTGGGGGGGCGACAAGGCCGGGCACGTTCGCGATAGCATAGCTAGAACCATAGGGTGGGAGGGGGAAATGGGATTTGTGGGATTTGCGGGGGACCCAGAACCTACCAAAATACTCTACTCACCACTGTTGATATAAATGTAAAATAATATTAATATAATATTACAAACTCTCATTCGACACCGTCTCGGAGGACGACTATAGACGACATTTTATCTCGCCTTATTTATCGAAATGTAAATATATACAGCTTATACGTTTAGTTAAAAATATTGTTCGATAGGTAGCCGCCCTTTGTTTTATTTTATCACTTTTTATCCCTTTTATTTTCATCAGCTTGACGCCGTCTGTGCTAGCGATATGAATATTTGATGTGTTATTATAATAACTTATTATATAGCTATAGGCCGTTGTACCGGCTAAGCATACACCACAAAAAGATGTGTATAAAAAGAATCAAACCCAGTCAAACGCACAATAATACGAACGCGCACCTAACGACCGAATAACTGACAATGATATTGTTATTTGTTATATATATACCTACGTGTGTTGTGTTTTACTTTGTATAAAACGGCACTTCAAAATAATTATAGCTGTATAATAGGAACATTTTTTATTCACGTAATTATCGCTCGACTATAATATTAATTAGAATATCGATCCGACGTCTACAGCTATAGCCCTATAGGTTTCAGTGTGGGTGTACCTTCTTAAATTTAGATGGCTGGAAATTTAGTGTGGGTGGTGGGATTATCATTTTAGAGTTCTGAGCCACTGAGGTGGGCCACCGTGTTATATCCTGTCTTATGTGCGTCAATAGGTAGGTACATACTATATTGTTATATATAGAAAAACTGGAAGACACAGTGGCCAATCCTGTATAATATAGTAAATAATATTACTTATTTTGGATTTGTGATTTTGATTGGCCTAGTCACCGTCGAAGCGTTCGTAATTTACAGTCGATTATTCATGGTGTATCTATACCATGACGTCGTCCTATAACAAACAAGCGCAACTGCAAAATATTGTTCGCACATATTTTGGCAGTTGTCCAGCATAATATTATAATTTAGCATTAACATGACGTAGATACCTGTACACTACCTAACTATACACACCAAATCGGCGTCAGAAACATCCTCTGTGAATGGAGGGGGTGCAGAGTTAGACCTTGCCATAGGTTATAGTCGTACGACTTACAACGAGTTTTTTATGTTTACCATCCGCCACACAACTCAATGTTGAGGGTTTGAGGTTTGAACTTATTGTACACGATTCCAAGTATCAAAACAGGGTTATTATAATTATGTGTTGCTTATTAAACATTATAATATATTAATATGTGATGGCACTTGGCGTGTTCGTGTAAAGTACCGTTCTGAATTACTGACTAAACCGCACGTTATTAATATAATAGCTTATTATTGTAAAAAATAAATATTATTTACTGATATTTAAATCTGATTATCTTATTAAATTTGTGAGTTATATATTTTATATTGTTGCTACTGAAACGATGATGGTCTTTTTTCTGTTGAAATATTTTTGGATTACTTCACTGAGGAATAGTTTATCTTAAAGCTGACGTTCGTTGAATATAATCCGCTTGTAGAAAATACTGTTACAGGTAATAACCCCATTGACTCGTTTGGTTGTAACCTTTGGCGTGCAAGTGTGCATTTAAGACGTGCAAATGATACCATTTTGCAGCACCTTTGCACCCGAAGCATTTTTCAATAGGAGTGGCTTACTGGGGCAACACTTCTACTGTTCTCCAACTTGATACGACGCTCGCGATCACCAGTCCACCATCGGCCCGTTGCGGTTAGTAGTCAATGCCTAAAGTTCTAATATTCGTCAATTTAAGTACAATATAATATTATGACGGTGTGTTTCGAACAAAATACATCGAAACACCGGTCATTTTGGTAAAAATACACAAAGGTCCTAGTGAAAATACAATTGTGTATAATTGCAAGTGGTTTTGTACTGCAGATGGGTTATTGTGGGTGGTAAATTAAAAAAGCTCGCAGCCATCGATTTTTTAGTTTCTATGTAGCTAAAATTTAACGAAATTGTATTCGCATAATATCATATTATGCTGATATACAGTGATACCTGTACAGTGCAGTGCACCCATTATAATATATTGCATCGTGGTGACGTGTACACACTATTGCATATATATATAATACTTCATACCTTGTTGTTGTTATTGTTGTTGTTGTTGTTGTTGTTGTTGTAGTTGTCGTAGAGTCTATTATATTTGTTGTACGATCATATAATACATGTATAAACTGTATGGTTAATATATTATGTAGGCATTATAATGTGAGCACCGGAGCGGTATTTTTCGTCGATAATAATATAACCGTCGCCGCGGGCGAGTGTTATTTACGCGATTTTTTAACAAATATAAATATATAATGGGTGCATTTTCTGTATTTTTTTACTATGCGTTTCAAGAACGTATTTCAGCCGACTGCGATGATTTTACTGCGCACATAATATTATAATATACCTACCTAATAATTGTATGCGAATACAATAATAATAATTATCGTCGTCGTCGTCGTCAAGGCGGCGGTATGCGCTTCTTCTTTATTTTTTCGTTTACTTTCACAATAAAAAGGCGATTTTATGGTCTAATATTATATTATAATGTAACCTTGGAACAGTTCACGAATTCACGCCGATTTCCTAGTCGAAATACACGTCCCAGTCGTCACACACCGTCTGAAGGTGAAACGGAAAATAGTTTTCTCCTGTAACTTTCGACGTCGTCGTCACGCGTCGTGTAAATGATCGTAATCGTAATAATATATATCTCCGG